GGCGGTCACACGGACCCAAGAACGCCCCAAGACGGCCCCAAGAGGGACTGGAGACGCCCCAAAATCGCCCAAAGCCGCCCAAGATGACCTCAAGGCAGCCTAAGAGGCCGCCAAGACGGCCCAAGAGGCTTCCAAGATGCCTCCCAAGAGGTCCCCAAAGACCAAAATCATAGATTGTCCGAAGATTATTTGAGGTTTCAGCCTTCTAGCCTTTTCGGCTGCCCGACGCTCCAGGATGGTCCAAGAGGAACCCAAGATCGCCCCAAGATGGCCCGAGAGGCCCCCAAGAGAGCCCCCAGACGGTCCAACACGGCCCCAAAACGGCCCCAGAGGCACCGATTCGAGCCTTCCGCCCCAAGAGGCCCCCAGGAGGCCCCGCGAGGCCCCCAAGAGAGCCCAGGAAGCCCCCGGGGGCCCCTGGAGGCCCCACGAGGCCCCCAAGAGGCCCCCCCAAAAAGCTCCAAGGAGCCCCCAAACGGCCCCCAAGAGGCCCCAAGAGGCCACGAACGCGCAGGCAAACGCCTGCGATGGCACACTACGGGCCGGCGGAGTGAGCGAAGCGATTAAATAAGAACGCACGATAATGGTGCAAGGGCCTTGGAAGGCCATGTCGACACTTTGCGATCGGGGCGCGGCCAGCGAAAGCGGCCAAGGATGGGCCGAAGGGGAAGGATGGGGAGCCTTGAAAAGTCGCTCATCCTTACTATGCGAGTTGACTGTAGCAGGGGTCCCCGGAGACCGAGAATGCCAACAAAAAAACTTCAGCCGTGATCTGCTCACGACACGACCCAGGCGTCCGACGATGTGATTTGTTCAATGCGCGGCCCCGCAAGCCCCGACCCGTTCCCCTGGGAACAATTCTTCGTCCCAGATTCATGTTTCATGGCTCCAAGGCCCGATCAAGCGGCCCCAGAAGCCGAAATCGAGGACAAACGCGGGGATTGAGCAAATCAGATCGTCGGATATCTGAGTCGGGGGTTGCTACAGCTGCCCCTGGCCCAAGGTGCCCCCAGCTTTTCGCTCCATGTTGGAGTCCCATGGGGCCCTCTGGGCCTCGCGAGGGGTTCTCTGGAGGCCGTCGGGGCGGCCTCCTGACAAATCCTGGGGGCACCCTGGGCCAGAGGCACTTCTAGCAACACCCGACTGAGGAGGTGTCAAGGTCCTCCCAACTGACGTCGATGCCCAGGGCGGTGTACCGGCCCATGTCCGCCCACACCACGAACTCGTGAGCCTTCGTGGGCCCAGGCGGCGGCCTCGGCGCGGGGGGGGGGGGGGGAAGGCAGGAGGAGGGGGAGGGGTATCGAAGGGGAGGGGGAGAAGAGAGGAGGAAGAGGGAGGGAAGGGGGAGGACAAAGGGGTCAAGGAAGAAGGGGAGGGGGTAGAGGAGGGAGGAGGGGAGGAGGAGGAGGAGGAAGGAGGAGGAGGAGGAGGAGGAGGAGGAGGAGGAGGAGGAGGAGGAGGAGGAGAGGAGGAAGAGGAAGAGGAGGAGGAGGAGGAGGAGGAGGGAGGAGGAGGAGGAGGACGAGGAGGAGGAGGAAGGAGGAGGAGGATGATGAGGAGGAGGAGGAGGAGCCGGGGGAGATGGGAGGACGAGGAGGAGGAGGAGGAGAAGGAGGAGGATCGAGAAACACAACTGTTGAGAACATCGGCATGGCAGCAAAGAAGATAGATCACGGCCCGGTGGTGGTTGAGTTCAAATGAAAGAACGTGGGCACAGAAGACGATAACAGTGAACAGGCAGAACTTCAAGGACCCGCAGAAGCAACAACGTTTCATCGAAGATGTCCGAAGATACCCGCTTGCCCTGGCCTCCCTGGACGCTAACGAGCATCTTGAACACGTGGTGTGGGTCCCCCAGGAGTCCGCAGGGATAGAATTCCCTAGACAGCCCCACAACCCCCTCAAGCCCTACGTGACCCTCGAGCTCTTGACCATGATATCTGCAGAAGAAGAATAAGGCAGCACGTGAGAGCATGGAAGAGAATGGATGCCACTAGGGTTGACGCCCTCTTACTTGAAGCGCGCGATGTTCCTTCCCTGGATAGCTGTGGAGATCTGGAAATTCTGATTCACTCCGACGGTTTACGAGAATGTATTCAGGACTTCAGGGCGAGACCTTGGGGCGAATCGGCATGGACAAGGCCATCGTCAGTGACAAAGCGATTACCAGAAAATCTGAACGGCGGTTACTCGGGGAATCCAGGACGCAGCTAATCATCCAGATGCCTACTCAGCTGACTGAGACCAGATCGTCACGAGAGTCGGAGGAGGGGTGGAGCATCCTCGGCAAGTTGCAAAGATTCGGAGGACTGCCAGGCAAATGTTCTGTGCGAGGCCTCCAAACGCGATGTGACGAGCAAGGACATGTTGTCGGCTACAGAGCTGAACTATGCGAGGCCTTGCTGAGACACTTTGCCGAGACGAAAAAAGAGAAGTGGTCGACTGGGCAACCCTTCAGGAACAATACAATGAATACGCAACACTAGAACCTATTCCCGACAGGTCCCTTGGGATGCGGATGTCGAAGAAGGAGATGAGGCAGGGCATTCAGAGGGGAAGTCTCGGGAGAGCGGTGGGTCCAGATGTCGCTGGGTTGGAACTCATGAAGGTGGACCTCGGGCTAGCCACAGACCTCCTCCAGCCCACTATGCTAAAGTCCCAGCTAACTGCCAAAGAGCCTCGCGGACTCAAAGGGGATTGCAGACGGACATGTTCAAGTCGGGATCGGCGAAAGTTCTGCACAATTACAAAAGTACTATGCTGTCGCATGGCAAAGGTGAACAACGCTTTTCTCACGAGTAAGTTGCTGAAGGTCAGTAGTGTGTTGCTTAACGAGTTCCAGTACGGTGGCCTTCCTGTGAGGGGTACCGATCAAGCCAGTCTGCAAACGAGGCTCATGATGGGCTAAAACACGGTGACGGTCCCTAAATGTTCTATTCCGAGGTCGAGGCCCTCACCTCTGAGGTAGCCCAGTTGGAGGAGAGTTTCAGCACGTACCTTGAGCAACAAGGTCCTCGTGTAATAGATGCTATATCCTGCGCCTGGTTTTGGGTCCGAGGCTCCGACAAGGTAGCTAGCCCCACCCTAGAGACCCGACGCGGTATGCCCTTGGCGGACCTGATGTTCAACCTGATCGTTGGTTCAATCCAGACTTCTGCCGATGCAAGTGTGCAGGAATAGATCGGCGGTGGACAAGCCTCCCTGTAGCAAATCTCCCTTTAGTGAAAACGGCCTAGGACCGAAACCGCCGGACCTGGACCCGCAAAAATAACGGCCGCGACGCCCTCTCGCGAACCGAAAACGGCCAATTCACTAATCGACGTGTCATGGTAGGAGGTCGATCAACCTTCGAATGGAACAACCTTCAAGCGGCTGCAGTCGAGCACGAGTCGAGACGTCTCTTTCCTCCCGGGGATGCTGCCTCCCAGGAGTAGACGGGCCCTGGGGCCCTGTCTGTGAGGATGACCTGCTGTTTGCTGTCGAAATCCCCAACGCCGCCCCGTGGGGTGTTTCTGATGTTTTGTCTGGCCCGAGCTGTCCACGAGGAGACCGTCGCACGAGGCTTTACGATCAACGATAGGGCCGGCAAGTCCGAGCTCCGGGGGTGCAGGATTGTCCGCCCAGGCCGTCGCCGGCAGTATGCAGCGGCTCCAGAGTTTTTGTTGCTTTCGTCTGTGCGGTGCGGTGCGTGAGACGTGATGGGCAAGGTTGAAGGAGGGCCAGGGCGGAGGTTGCCACGCTACGCGACAATAAGCTGTTACTCCTCCTCCACCTCCTCCTCCGCCTCCTCCTCCTCCTCCTCCTTATCCTCCTCCTCCTCTTCTTCCTCCTCCTCCTCCTCATCATCATCAGCAGCATCATCATCGTCAGCAGCATCATCAGCAGCAACAGCAGCAGCAGCATCAGCATCAGCATCATCATCAGCAGCAGCAGCATCATCAGCAGCAGCAGCTGCCGCAGCATCCTCATCATCCTCATCATCATCATCATCATCATCATCATCATCATCATCATCATCATCATCATCATCAGCATCAGCATCAGCATCAGCATCAGCATCAGCATCAGCATCAGCATCATCAGCATCATTATCATCGTCATCATCATCAGCCGCAGCAGCATCATCAGCATCATCATGATCCTCATCATCATCACCACCATCATCATTATCATCATCATCATCATCATCACCACCAGCATCATCATCATCATCATCATCATCATCATCATCATCATCATCATCATCATCATCATCATCATCATCATCATCATCATCATCGTCATCATCATCATCATCATCATCATCATCATCATCATCATCATCATCATCATCATCTTCATCATCATCATCCTCATCATCATCATCATCATCATCATCATCACCAGCATCATCAGCATCAGCATCATCATCAGCATCATCATCGTCGTCAGCATCATCATTATCACTATTCCACTCAGCCTCCCGATGCTGCCACCGCCGCCGATCCTCAGTTCGCAACCTTTCCACGCCACCCCACCTGGAGCCCCACCCCGTCCCCACCACGCGCGCCAGGACCAACCCTCAACTTGGAGGCAACGGGCCCTGAGGGACACGGGTGCTGCGCCCAAGGGGAACAGCATCTCACCCGGAGTCGTCTTTCGATGGTCCCGGGGCCCTTGGAGGGCCCTGTGTGCACCCATGGGGGTCAGAACTGTTGGATAGGCAGGAAGATGAGGCAGCAAGGGGAAACTGAGGGTCAGAGCGAGATCCGATCGCTCTGGTGAGTGGTTCCCTGCGGTCACGCTCAACATCGCACTGCTCTGGTGAGCTGCTCCCCGCGCGTGCGGCCAAGACTGTCCTGCGCGCGGCGACGTGTCCGCCCCACGCCCCGAACCTGCCTGAGGAGCCGCACCTCTGACCCGCAAGCGCACACGAACGAGGGCACGTGGAGCCCGAGAATCGGGAGCGGCCAAGAGGGGGGTGTCCAAGAGGGGGGGGTGCAAATCATGGCCGGCGGCATGTGCGCGGCCCAGCGGGGGGGCCGGGGACGTAACGAAATGAGAAGAGGCGCCATGAAGTCTGGGGAAATATCATGGCCCACGCCATGATATCCACCCCCCCCTAGTCATCACCCCCCTCTTTTCCGCCCCCGAGAGAACGGAGGCAGGACCTCCGCAGCCCGCTCCCCCCGGGACCACCCTTCCCTCCTCGGCGGCCCACCGCGACGCGCCAGACCCCACGCCCGGTGCGGCATGGCGCCCCGCCCCTGCCTCCCCACGCGGCCCGCCATGCACACGCGAAGCGGCGCTGCCGTCGGTGCCCGCGGCCCCGGGTGGCCCCCACTTCTCCAGGGAGGCCCCCACGGCCTCCAGACGCCCCCCCCGTCCCCCCCGACGGCCGCCCTGGAGACGACGAGGCCGTTTCTGTCTCCGGTGCCGGCTGGCCGCTTCTGCAGCTGGTCACGGCGCCGTTCCTGTCCCGAGCCCGTCACGGGTTCTGCTTCGGTTCTGCTTCTGGCTCTCATCCCAGAGCCGGCTGCTCGCCGCGTCTGGGAGCCACTCGTTTACAGCTCTCACAGTCCCAAGACGACTTCTTGGAACATCGCAGAAGAACAGCCCTGCCGCTTCTGGGGCTCACTAAGCCCCCGCCCCTGGGGGCACCAGAGTGGGTGGAAGGCTGGGGGGGCCATCGAGGGGGGGGGAGAGATGGCACCTCTGCACACACCCGACCACTGAGGGAGCCTCCAGGAGGGAGCACGCCCCCCCTCCTTGCCCCAGGAAGGCCGAGGAGATCGAGGAGCCCGAGGGGGGATCGGAGGGCAAAAACCGAGAGACCCCCCCCGTGGACCCCTCTGAGCCGCCAGCCCGCCACATCCCCACGCGCTGCCCGCACGCCCCTCCCGCGAGCGCGCCCCCCATGCCGCCCTCGCCCAAGCTTGCCCTGGCGCCGCTGGCGCCCCCAGTGGCGCCCCCCATCCCCCGCAGGATGACCCAGGATCGAGTCGAAAGATGAGCTCGGCAGTCGAAGTGCGCCGAATCGACAGGAGGTCGGCAGGCAGATCGGAAGGCATCGAAATCGAGGCCTGGCGGCGCGAGCCGACACCTGCACAAGGAAACCCAAACCGAAGTCGGAATTCGGAGTTGAATCGAATCGGAATCGAGATCCTCGACATCGAATCGATCCGAATCGGCAGAGTCGAAATGACTCTTGCCTCCGCCCCCGAGGCTGGTCGGCGAGCGGGCGCAAAAGCGCCGAGACACTGCACGCCGATTGCTGGAGGACCCGGCGGCCCACGCGAGGGTGCCAGCCGCGCCAAAATCTGGCTGCTTGAACATAAAAACGTGTTATGTGAGAGAACCACCTCCTGGAATACCGGAAGAACGCAGCTTCCTGACTGCAGAAAACCAGTTTCGGATTCAAGACGCCGGATTCTGTTACTCCAGAAACCAAGACTCCGACGAGGGCCGTGCGACGTGCGACCCTCCCACCCCCTCGGCTGCGCGCCAGGCCTCGGCGCCGCCTCCGCCGCCGCCTGCGCACCGCCGCCGCCGCGCTCCCCTGCGGGCTTCTCCCTCGGAGGAGGCACGGGCGACTCCTGGGGAGCGCCCCATGGGGGGGGGCGAGGAGGGGCGAGGGAGGACGAGGAGGCGGAGGAGGCGGAGGAGGAGGGAGGAGGAGGAGGAGGAGGAGGAGGAACCACGCTACCCAGTACTCACCGCCGACGTGAATACGGGAGACGGCGACAAAGAAGAGGAGCATCACCACGGCTATAACTACCCGATCGCCACCACCAAGATGGAAGCACTACCCAGCACCGCTCCGAGGTGCGACCATCACCGACCTTCGCACACGGGAGCTGCTTCCGAGGCGGATAAGCCTGCGACATAACCACCACACCCAAGTGGACCCCAAGCCAGAGGAGCGTCGCCAACACCGACCCAATCCACTATGCAGCAGAGCATCCCAATGGCATGGGCCAGCCTCGTTTGAGGTGCCACTGCGTTACATATCTCCCACTCCTTCTTCTGGGCAAAGAAAGCGAACGCCACCCTCCCAAGCCCACAACAGGTCTTGCTCTATCGGAGGCCTGTCATTGCGCCGCTACCTCTACGTAGCATGTTTGCTCTTACGCGACGGGTACTACGACCAGCTGCCCCCATTCCTACAACCGACCTCTACACTACTACAACAGCAGCGGCTGGAACACTACCCTGCAACCCGACTACCTCCTCTACTACTCCAAGGGCGACATTGCAGCAGTTTGCGAGCACACTGACACTGCGACATCCACCTCGGCCTATACTCCGTCTCCAGAACATCGGCCATGCAGCAAAGGCTCATCTACATTCTCGAGCGCCCTATCTCGCAGCGGCAACTACATGTCTCGTATACTTCCACTCCGTTCGCCCCAGATGATTCGCCACAAACACAATGGCGAGGCGAGGCGAGGCGAGGCGAGGCGAGGCGCCAGTGTGTCGCCCTGGGGGGGGGGGGGGGGCGGCCCTACGAGAGCCCGGCGGTGGCGCAGAGCGCCGAGAAGCATTAAACCCCGCTCAGATGCTGGAGTCGGGTTTGGGAAAGCTGGGTCGGAGAAGGGGCAGAGACGAGTGCTGGAGTCGGTAGCATGGGAGCATGGGAGCGGGAGTCGGAGACGTCTGAGGCATGGCATAGGAGACGGCATTGAGGAATTGAGGGAAGAATCTGCCATTCCAAGCCGTAAAAATCGCTTGTGCAGGCCAAGAACTTATCTTCCAAAGCCTTCCACGCGTGCCAGTCTGCTGCGATTGACAACCATTGTCTGCTGTCGTTGTGGGCGTCGTTGTGTTGTGTCGTGCCTGTGGTGCGGAGGAATTGGGCGATGTCGTCGTCCCAGCGCTTCTTTTGGCCTCCAAAAACACAATTTGGCAAAAGGAACGAGTGCATGATGGACCGTCTACTACCACGTTTCTACGCGTGCACGGGAGTTCACAATGGGAACCGCCACAAGGGGTGGCGCCGACCCATTATTAGAAATGTGGGCTCCAATATACTTCCACGGTAAGCCACGGGATGGAGTTCTCTCATGCATCTCCTTGGTGGGGCCCTTTAATCACCAGTCTCAGGGGCGGCGGTCTCGGAGGCGACAACACGAAGGGCCAACGATCCACGATGGCCACGAGGGGGGACGCTCAGCTAACGTCTACTCCCTCCTGGCCGCCTTCTTCCCCATCATACCTGCCGACTGCTCGTCCCATCAACTTCCTACTCTTGTGAAGGCGGGATCGGGGGGGTCGGGGATTCAGTTGGTGGAAGGGATGGGGAACCTCACCGCTGGCTACCCTGTCATTGGCCAGGGCGGCCGCAGGCAACAGCCCATTTTTCTCGACCACAGTCAATCAAGCACGGCCACTGGCGACAGTGGCCCCACAGGCTTGTCCGCTCTTGCCTGCCACCGCAGCCGGCATTGCGCGCAGTCCATCTACCCTGGCACCATCTGTACGCCCTCCTTCTGCCCGCCTCCTTACGCCACACTTGTCATCGATTGGCCCATCACGCACGCTTTGTACCGCCAGCCGCATGCTGGGGATGGTTGAGGTCCTATTGAAGAGGAGGGGGCGGATGGCCAAGGCGCCCGGCGTTGGCCAAGGCGCCCTGGCGTTGGCCAAGGCGCCCGCGCGAAGAAGTCGGGCGCGAGCCCGAAGTCCTTCTTGCCGCCAGTGTAGGCCATCCTGCCCGGCCGCTCGTGCGAGAAGCACCGATAGATCGCGGCCAGTGACAGCAGAGAAGGCCCCGCGCGCTGGCGCGGCGCTCCCGACCGCGCCAGCGCGAGGGCCCGAGCGCGCCCGCCGCCGCCGCCCTCCACATTCACCCGCAGCACGTCCCACTCCGCCGCCGCGAGGAGCTCGCCGGCGGCCCAGGGCGCCCCCAGAGCCACGGGCCGCGGCACGCCAGCGAGCACCACGAGGTCCAGCGCGCTCTCCGGGCGCGCCCCGAGGTGGACGGCGGCCGCGAGCTCGGCCAGCGCTGCCCGTTGCGCGCCGCTGGCCCACAGCACGCGGGACGCCAGGCCCCAACGGCGCCCCATCCACGAGCAGGGGGTGGCAGAGCCCCTGGGCGCCGAATAGGGCGCGGCCGCCAAGAGGTGCCCTGCCGAGCACCCCCGCGGGCCCAGCGCGACCACCGAAGCGCCGCGCTCCGCACAGGCGGCTGCGTCCTCCCCGCCCCCGCTGGCCAGGTGTCCAGGACCCGGCCCTGAGGACAAGAACCCCCATGCGGTGCAGGTTCAACTTGTGATCCACTTCCTATCCTTGGGGCCCCATCCCTCGGGGCCCCATCTCTGAAACGCCAAGCTGTGGGTCGCTCTCGCGCCGGCGTGGCTGGCCGGCCGAGCCACTCAGCAGGCGGACTTCGGTGCCGACGAGGAGGGGGCACGGCGGCGTGGCGACGGACACGTCCCGCGGGAAGGGCCTCACCGCGTCGCGCCAGTACGCGCGCAGATCTTCGCGCGTGCACTTGCAGTCAGAGGGCTCCAGGAGCTGAGGAAGCGTGTACTCCACCTGTCGACGTCGGGGCCCTCCAGCCGCAAAATTGCTGCAGAGAGGAGGAGGCGGAGGCGGAGGCGGAGGCGGAGGAGGAGGAGGACGAGGAGGAGGAGGAGGAGGAGGAGGAGGAGGAGGAGGAGGAGAAGGAGGCGCGATCGCCCGAGCTCCCCCTGTGTCGCACAGGGCGGCCGAGGCCGCGCCCGAGCGCGGCGCCTCCCTCGATGAGGCTGGGGCGCCCGCGATGGCCCGAATGGACCAGCGTCTGCAGGGCACGCCCGCGCGGAGCGCGCAGCCGACGATGCAACTTGACGGCGACGACTTCGAGAAACCAGTTACTCCAGATTTCGTAATAAAGGGAGGGGGGTCTCATTTCGGGGGGGGGTCTCTTCCAGGCTATCTTGGAGGGCCTGGGTGGTCTGGGGACGATGTTTTGGAGGGTTCTCCCACGGGGGAGGTCTGAAATGGCTTGTCTTGGAGGGTCCAGACCCCCTCCCTTTTATTACGAAATCTGGAGTAACCTTTGGAGCCAAGCGCTGCGAGTAGCCCGCAAAGCCCGCCAGACGGCCATGCGCGCCTGGATCAATGAGCAGCTACACCTCCAGAAGAAGCACATATATCAGCCTCGAGGCACGAGCTCGCAGAGTGGCAGAGCTGGTGGCAAAGCGTCCAGCAGAGCACGCCCATTTCGAGCCCTTGGGCCACGCTCCTCGCCGAACTGGGGGCCCGACCGGCAGCCGAGCAGCCGGACTGCAGCGAGACCCACGCAGCTGGTACCCGGAACGAGGGCGCCCAAAAGGACCGCTACAGGGACGCCAGCTGCTGCCTCGGCAGCTGCTCCTCCAGCCACAACTGCTTGGGCAGCAACGGCTACAAGGACAACGACTACGCCGACACTTGCTCCAGCACGTATTCCGAGAAGGACCCGAAGGAGACAGCGCAGGCCGCGTGCGCGCACCTACCCGAGACAACAGTGCGTCATGGACTGGCCTCGCCAGCCAGTCCTCCCCGCACGGGGGCTGTCGGCAGTGGCCTGCTCCCAGCGGGCCAGGGCGAGCGCCCCGCCCACGAGACAACCCCCTCTAGAGCAGCAATCCCCGAGGACTGATGGGTCGTCATGTGCCGGGGGGGGAGCGCCAAGGTACTGCGGCGAACAATCACCATAGACAATCAGCACGGCACCCTCGAAAGAAACGTCGGGCGCCCGGGCCACCTTCTCGATGTTCGGCCCCGTCGAAGCACTTGACACCAAGGGCGGCCACGTCACCGTGCGATACTCGTCCGCCCCAGCGACGCGCTGCAGCTAGGGAGAGGGGCGGGTTCGAGGGCTTCGATCATCGACGAGACAGTCCGCAGTCACGAGTCACGGGGAGGAGGAGGAGGAGGAGGAGGAGGAGGAGGAGGAGGAGGAGGAGGAACAAGAGGAGGAGGAGGAGGAGGAGGAGGAGGAGGAGGAGGAGGAGGAGGAGGAGGGAAGGAGGAGGGGAAGGGGCAAGGGGAGGGGGCGGGGGAGGAGAGCCGCATCTCGTCTCAATAACTCCGCAGAGATCTACTGACATCTGACGCCCAGACAGGGGCTCAAGTAGGCGTGGAGGTGAAAGAAAATCTAAGCAGACGGGGGGGGCAGGAGGAGGAGGAGGAGAAGGAAGGAGGAGGAGGAGGAGGAGGAGCAGGAGGAGGAGGAGAATGAGGAGGAGAAGGAAGGAGAAAGGAGAACAAGGGGAGGTGGGAGTATGAGGTGAATCAGCGGGAGGGGAAAATGGGTAGAGAGGAGGGACGGGAGGAGGAAGAGCACAAAGAGGAAGGAGCACGAGGAAGAACACGTGGAGGAGGAGGAGGAGGAGGAGGAGGAGGAGGAGGAGGAGGAGGAGGAGGAGGAAGAGGAGGACGAGGAGGGAGAAGGGAGAAGGAGGGGGGAGGAGAGAAATGGGTAGCAGATGTGGAGGCCGAGAGGCAGGGAGGCGGGAAAGGCAGGGAGGCGAGAGACCAGAGCGAGGGGGGGGGGGGGCAAACATCAACGACCAAAAGAAAATGCGAGGAGAGGAAGAGGGATGGATGCCGCGGCAGAAGGGAGGGACGGACAGGTTCCTTCTGGGGAATGGTATCAATGATGGCACGCGGCCGGCAGTGCATATAGTGGCATGTGGCACGCCTGTTTCATAGGCATTGCCGTTTAGAGCGTCGGACCACCACCACGAGCTTCGCGATACCTCCATGGAACACCCTCCTGGTGAGCCAGTTCCTGGACGAGCGAGGGCTCAGCCTACCCAAACGACTTCACAATTGAACGCACAATGTGTTCGCGCACGAACGCGAATACGGAATGCCATTGAGGAAACGAGAGACCATGCATGTCAAAGGCAACGCTAGCCTACTTCGAATGATCGCCACCAAGAAGGTTTACCATGTCCAGACGAATGGTTCTCATGTCCGTCGTTGACGTATGCTCCTTGTAGATGTCTTTGGTATATGCTCTTGGTGGCTGGTAGTGCTGCCTGATCGTGGCGCCTGCCATGGGCCACTGATCCTGGGGAGGGATGCTGGTATAGGCGCTGTGTATCACTGATCCTGAGGTATGAACGAATTGTTGTTGTCTGGCCTGGGTATCTTTTTATGTAGCCTAGCAAATGGCAAATGTTAGTGGTGTCCACTGTTGGGCTATATCGGTAGTGCATGTCATTGGTGTACGTTATTGGTGCACCTTATTGGTCTGCAATGGTGGTACATAGTCTTCAGACGTGGTACTGATGTTGGGGCAGTGGTGCCTGCTCATGGTGAATAAGATCAGGGTGTGTTCCTGGTGACGGATATTGATGGTTGGTGCTGTTGCACGTCCTTGGTGCATGCTAATTGTGCAAGGCTCTGGCGTATATATTTAATGCATGGAGCTGGTATGTGTTGCTTATGCGTGTTTAGGTTTACTGCTATGGGCGTGTGAATGTGATGTGCGTGTTCGATGCATGATACTGAATAGAGTTCAGGGCATACGTCTTTGTTGTATGGTAGTGGTGCAGGGTCTTGGAGGCGGCGATTGATGTGTGTGTGTGACTTCTGTATGTGACTGGTTTGTGGTACGCCTGCGCGCTGTTAGTGAATAGCACTGGTGTTTGTGTGAATCGTGAGTGTTAGTCGTGTTCTTGGTGGTTGTTGTTAATGTCGGCCCTTTACATCAGCTATTGAAGTAGGGTCGTGATGTATGCTCAAAGTGGTTATCGTTGATGTCCGCCCTTGGCGAATGTGACTTCTGTATGGCACTGCTATCTGTTATTGGTGAGTCTCAAATGTGCGTGCGTTCTGGATGTACAGATCTCACTGTGTGATACTTACGTATATTCGACATGTCCGTGGACGGCTTAAAGTCGCGACGCCTGGACGTCGTGACGCCGCGACGCCGTGCGAGTCACGTACGTTCGATGTGCTTGTTCGCCATGTCGTCCTTGGCCTCTCGACGATCTGCGGGGCCCGGCGGCCGCGGCATGCAGCGCTGGCGGCCTCCTGGACTACTGAGGCCCAGCGGCCGCTGCATGCGGGGCGGTTGCGGCCCGGACTGTGGGGGCCCGGCGGCGGCGGCAGCCCCAGCCTGTCGGGTGGTGAGTTCCAAGATCCACGTAGCAGTTCGGCCAACATCGGGAGCGGCCAAGAGGGGGGTGTCCAAGAGGGGGGGGTGCAAGTCATGACCGGCGGCATGTGCGCGGCCCAGCGGGGGGGCCGGGGACGTAATGGAATAAGAAGAGGCGCCATGAAATCTGGGGAAATATCATGGCCCACGCCATGATATCCCCCCCCCCCCTAGTCATCACCCCCCTCTTTTCCGCCCCCGACAACACGACCGTCGGTAAGGTATGCTAACCCGGTAAGATAAGATAGGCTGGCAGATGATGCATGCTCATAAGCCATTGTGAGAGGCAGGGGTGGATATCAAACTCAAGCGTAACAACACGCACCAGCTGAATCAACCGCGATCTGGACCATTCAGAGGCTACCCACAACTCAAATTTACAGCAGCGCGCTGTACCAAAGTACAGCTGAAACGAAGCTGTGTACATTAGCTGCGCATTACTGGACTGGATAAGCTCGGCTGAAATACGCTGGTCTTGGCCTTGGCTAAGCCTGGCTACAGCAACATGCGCTGTCTACACTAACCGACTACGAAGCACATGCCACTCTACATTACCGCACCTCTGGCAGTTGGTCACGACGCCGCGAGGCGTCACGCCGAGACACGCTGTGATGCGGGCACATCTCGCGCACAGGCGCGGCACGAAGTGGGAGGCGAACTTTCACGATCTTCTTGAATCGAGGGTGGGGAAGAGGAGGGTGCTGGACGATGTTCTTCCCCCAGGGGTGGCAGGTCCCCACAGAGCTGCCGACCTCACAAGAGTATAGGAGCAGCCACCCGTACCGCAAGAGCGATCGGTCCCGCTGCGGGGGTAAAGCGCAGTCGACGCAGCGGTACGGGGCGCGGCCAGTGCCGCGAAGGGAGGATAATAGACAAGAGGCGGAGGAGGAAGGAGGGGGAGAAGAAAGGACAGGGAAGATAAGCAGGAGGCAGCACTCCATCATGCTGTCAGCCTGGTGTAACCACTAATACAATTCTTGCACATCCCCTCACTGTCGGAAGGGCCCGCATTGCAGCACGCGCCGAAACGCGGCTGACGATATCGCCAGACCGCATGCGCGGCCGCGGGCGAGACAGAAAAAAACGAGCGGGAGACCCGCCGCTTAGTGCGTACGTAATGAAACACTGTACATGAAATATCCGCGGCGCTTGCAATGCTACACAGCTAAGATCAGGAGGAGGAGAAGACACGAGGAAGGCGAGAGGAGGGAAGGCGAGGGAGGCGAGGGAGGAGGGAAGGCGAGGGAGGCGAGGGAGGAGATCACGAGGGACGAGGAAGGCGAGGGAGGAGGAAGGCGGGAGGAGGAGGCCGCGCGAGCCCGCCGCGGCAGGCAGAGGCGAGTCCTGCGGCTGCGCGCCCGCCTTGACGGTAAGCTGGACTCGCCCCTTCTTCTTCACCTTTGGGCTGCTCTGGGCCAAGCGGTGCGCAGGCGTGTACTCCTCGTCATCCTCCGCCCTCCTCCTCAAGCAACCATGCTTCACCCTCATGCCCGCTCCTGCTCCTCCTCCTCCTCATCATCATCATCACCACCACCACCACCACCATCATCAGCATCATCATCATCATCATCATCGACATCATCATCATCATCATCATCATCATCATCATCATCATCATCATCAACAACATAATCATCATCATCATCGTCATCATCATCATCATCGTCGTCGTCGTCATCAGCATCATCATCATCATCATCGTCAGCATCATCATCCTGTCCATCCTCCTCCGTTCTCTATCTATTCGAACTCCTGCCGCACGGGCTTCTCCCAGCAAACTGGGAGAAGCTACCTTCACAAAATTATATAGATATACAGTCGCATACGTACATACACCTACATACATGCATGCATGCACACCTACACGCATACATACATACAATCATAAGTACACATATATATTCATGCATGCATACATACATGCACACCTACCCACACGAATGTATATATATACATATATATATATATATGTGTGCATGTATACGTACATGCTTACATACATACGTATACATGCATGCATACATATGTACATGGATGCATACGTAAACACATACATACATGCATACATACAGACATACATACATACATACATACATGCATGCATGCATGCATGCATACACACATACACGCATACATGCATGCATACACGCATGCATCCATACATACTTCCATACACACATACGTGCATGCGTTCATGGTAGCATACATGTATGCATGCATGCATGCATGCGCACGTACATGCATACATACAAACACGTACATGCATGCATACACACATGCACACGTACTAATACCTACAGCACCTATATATATATATATATATATATATGTATATATATGTGTGTAAATACACATACGTGCATACATACAGACATGCATGCATATATACACACATCCTCGTACGCATATGCATACAGACATACAGACAGACAGAGACAGGCAGACACGCCGACAAACAGACTTGCATACATGCATACATGAATATGAGCATACGTGCATACATGCAGACACGCATACATGCATACATACATACACATACACATACGCATACACATACCCACATGCACATACACATACACATACTCATATACATACACATAGCAGATACACACAAGCACATACACATTCACATCCACATACACATACACATACATAAATACACACATACATATACATTCACAAGAGCATAAGCGCATAAACACATGTACATATACATACGACTATACAAACACTGTGGCGAAACACTACAAGTATGCACACATCTATACCTGTGCATTGGCTCAAGTAAACGTTTGGGCTCAAGTAAACGTTGGCAAGGCAAGTTTCTTCTGACCATTCTGTCTTGGAAAAGGCGGGCACGGGGCAGAAGGATAACGAGAAGCGGAATCCCATGAACAGTCCAAACAATCACAAAGGCCGTAAATTGGACAACGATGATTTCCAGATCGCCCGGGTGAAGGGCATGCCGGAATGGGCTGAGGCAATGCAGAAGGCTCTCATGCAGCATACCGCGGACCAAATCGGCACTTTGACGAAGGAGGTTGATGAGGCGAAGGTGATGGCGATGAAGGCGCAGGAGGAGATCAGGGAGGTGCACAAGGAGGTGGGAGAGATGAGGGTGAAGATGAAGAACCTGGAGGAGTTGCAGGAGGAGTTCAGGAGGTCAAAGACGGCGCCAGGACACGCAGGAGGAGGAGGAGGGGGGTCAGCACGAGGGTCACATTTTCGAGCCAAGTCTCAGGGGAAGGACAAGCAGGAAGACGACAAGGAGGCGTGCACTATCAACTTTGGGACCTTCCCGGAGGACACCAAATCAAAGGAGATTGTAGAATTCATGGAGGGGATCTTGGCAGAGGTGAAAGAGGAGGTGGAGGAGGTGTTCGCCTATGTGAAAAAAATCGCGGAGAGAGGGGGAGCAAAGTTTAGGTCCAGCGAGGGCATGTGGAACTACATGACGAAGAATGCGGGCAAGCACATCCACCAGTTTCAGGGTAAGACGATATATTGTAACGTCGATTCGAGATCAAGGGACCCAGAATCGGAAGAGGCACGCAGGGAGACGGCTGTGCGGAAGGTGGTGCGGGCCATCATTGAAGCAAATGGGGGGGATGGGAAAAAAACAAAACAAGAGGTCGACACCAACTACAAAAAGGGTATCGTGTGGTGGAAAGACAAACGAGTAGCAGTATGGAAGGATGGGAAAATGGAGCTCCTCGGTACCGCGGCCCAGTGGCACGGCATATTTCGAGGGCTATTCCCACAGTAAGGGTGCGGAGGCAAACGCACCCAGTACCATTACAAGATCAAGTACAATTCAGATGTTCAATTTTGAATCCATCATGCCTCGCCGCAGCGGTGGCGGCACCGGTGCTTACAAACACGTGGACGGCGACGTCCCAGCGTGCTTTAGAGGACCTGCCAACTCTGTCACTTTGGGACCACAGGCTGAAGACGTCGTTTGTGAGAATGGGGAGCTGCGAGAATGTGAGAAGAGCAGGGGTGGGCCGGAGGACGGTGAAGAGAGTCATCAGAGTGTTGTCGTGGAATGCTTGTGGCATGGGGGGCGATGCAATCGACAACTTGTTGTATATGTTACGTGCTGAGTGCAATGACTGGGATGTGATGTTGTTGCAGGAGGGCCCCAAACTGACAACAAATACATTGAGCGAGTTGCAAGGAGGGCACTTGTTCTACAATGCTGCTGCCAGAGATTGCTACAGAGGGACATCGATTTTGCTGCACGGCCGGTGGGCGGGAAACGAACCAAAGTTTTCCTCTCCGAGCGGTCGCGCCACGATCCTCGACGTCCACATGCATGGAAGAAGCTGCAGATTCATAGCATCACATTGTCCACATAGCGCGGACGAGGAAGAGAAATATTTAGCATGCTTAAAAGATCTTTAAGGCCATGTGCGGGCAGACCACACGCATCGTAAATGTGTCTTCGTTGGTATTGATGCGAATGCTGTTCTGGGTGCACAGCATGAGTTGGACGACCCCAAAGTGATTGGCAAATGGGGCTTGGGAGAGAGATGTCAAAGAGGGGAGTTGTTTGCAGAGTGGCTGCATGTGAATCGACTGGTAGCTTCCAACACACACATGCAGAAACGCGATCACTTGTGGTGGACCCACCAGAGGTGGGAGACTGGAGAAAGAAGACAGATCGATTATGTGTTGTGCGACAAACCCATGTTGCCAGCTCTTAAAGATTTCAACATATGCGACGGCGTCGATTTTTCATCTGATCACCGTTGCCTGTGTGCAGAGTTCCGGATAGATTCTGCCAAACGCCCGAGAGGGAGGAACCGAACAAGGAATGCAGCAACTTTGATAGGGTGGACACCAAGACTGGACGAATCCAGTGCTCCATCTGCATATCATGCCGCATTGTCACACAATCTTGCAGTGACGATTCCCAGATCTTTAGATGTTTTGGAGAAAACGATTGTGGAAGCTGCTCGCGACGCCGGCCTGGATGTGCGGCCCCTCCCCGGAGAGCAGACCACGGAGAAACAGACAGAGCTTCGCGGTTTGATTAAGATGCGTAAGCAAAGCACTACTCCAGAGGAGCGCAAACGCTTATCAAGACAGATCTGGAGTTGCTTATCTGCTATCCGCGATGAGAGAAGAGAAACCAGACTAGAGCAGTTACTGCAGCGAAATGGTGCCACCAAGGACCTAGGCAAGATCTTGGGGGGCCCGACAAAACGAAAGAAGATTGTGGCAGCGAAAGGGGTCGACGGGGAAATCCGTTCGTCGCCAGAAGAGATTGCCAATGTCTTCGCGGAGTTTTACACGAACCTGTATGCTGCGGAGCCCGGAACACCCAACCTGGGCCGAGATGATGCCGGGGATGCTGCTGAGCCAATCACAGTGCAGGAGTTGGAGGCCGTCCTGAAGCGCATGAAGAAGGGCAAAACATGCGCTGCGGATGGTGTGGTCGCTGAGATGCTACAAACCGGGCACCAGAAGCTATTAGAAGTAATGGCTAATCTGTTCACGAGAATCCTTCAGGGGACAGACGTCTTGCCAAACGGGTGGCTGACCAGCAAAATCATCGTCCTGTACAAGAAGGGCGACGCGATGCTTCCTAAGAATTACAGACCCATCAGCATCTTACCGGTTATGTATAAGGCGTTTTCAACAGTGCTTGTGGCCAGAACCAAGACACTTTTGGAATCGAAGCTCCAGCCCGAGCAGGCCGGGTTCCGTTCTGGTTACAGTTGTTCAGACGTGGTACACACTCTACGGGCAGTCGCAGAAAAGGCGGATGAGTGGGGAGAGGAAGTTTGGATGGCATCGCTAGATTTGGAAAAAGCGTTCGACAAGGTGCTGCACTCTGCTGTGTTCGAGGCGCTGGAGGAGGCAGGGGCGGACCCAGCCACGGTTCGCACGCTCAGGCAACTGTATTGCAATCTCAAAGCGCATGTCCAGCTGGACGGATCCACAACGAGCGCAGAATTTGGAATTCAACGTGGAGTCCGGCAGGGAGATCCGATCTCGCCACTGTTGTTCAACAGTGCCACAAGAACCATCTTCCAGAAATTACGCGAGGCCTGGGACGCAAAGAATTTGGGAACGATCATCGGCTCGCAGGAGGACGGAAGCAGAAGGCTGAGCCACGTGATGTTTGCAGATGACACGACTCTGGTGGCGCGATCAGCAGACGCGCTGCAGCAGATGATTGGAGACGCGATGACGGAGCTGGCAAAGAGAGGTCTGTCGCTGAATGTAGATAAGTGTTTCATCCAGCACAACAGCGCCGATGACCGAGTACATCTTGAAGTGCATGGGCATGAATTTCCCGTCGTATCAGCTACAACCGGCTTTAAAATTCTCGGCACGCAGTTCACCCTTGCTGGCCGCACTAGCAAGGAGATCTCCTCGCGCATCAAGGCTGGGTGGGCAAAATTTCATCAGCTGTGGCCGCTTCTGAACCCAAGGCGCGGCCTGTTGAGAAAGCGCCTTCGGCTGTTCGATGCCTGCGTATCGAAAAGCGTCCTCTGGTGTTGCGAATCGTGGTTGCCTACCGAGGAGGAGAAAAGACGTCTGCAGTCAACTCAGAACGATATGCTTCGAAGAATTGTGGGCATCAAGCGCCGGCCTCAAGAGCAGTGGGTTTCTTGGATTATTCGCGCCACGCACGTTGCGCGCGATGCTGCTAGTAAATGCGGGGTGCAATCTTGGGTACACACGTTCTTAGCTACAAAATGGCGATGGGCGGGGCACATTGCGAGAATGCCGGCAGACAGGTGGTGCAAAAGGGCAGTGGAGTGGCGCGACGCTGAGTGGTGCGCCACGCGAAGCTTGGCGGGAGGGAGGCCACGGAGACCGTGGCGCACACGCTGGTTCCGCTGGGAGGACGATTTGCGAGAATATTCGCTGTTCTGGAAGGACGAAGCCCAGAACAGGGACAGGTGGAAGCAGCGCACATCATCATTTACCGCACGCCGTCAGCTGCACGGTCGCGATTAATAAGGCGGTTTCAAGAAGGTGGTTCAAGAATAGTGGTTTCTTTTAAGAAGGTGGTTTAAGAAGGTGGTTTAAGAAGGGATGGGAGGAGGACCGGGAAGGCGGGCGCTCTCCCACGCGCCACGGCGCACTTTTCCCCAGCCCCCCGCAGGGGCCGCACCGCGTTCGGGGATCCGTATCCGTACACCTGTGCATTATGCATATACATGTACACTGAAAAGACAACATGTGTATATATATATATATATATATATATATATGTGTGTGTGTATGTATCTATGTACGTATTAGGCCCAACGACCTGCCAGCGACTCAGCAATATCCGCCACCATGCCTCTGGGCACAGAATGGGCGTGTCCTCAGGTCCTTTCAGCCTTCACTCCGGGGGAAGTCTTTAACGGACCCGGAGCCCACATTGCCACATCTTCTTGGGCTTCTCGCGTGCCCCCCGGGGTTCCCGGCATCTTCTCGCGTGAATTGTTCGGGCCCGAGCGGGCCCCAGGATGGGCCAAGAGGGCCTCAAGCAGCAATGAAGACGGCCCAAGACGGCCCTTAGACGTCCAAAGACCGCCCAGAGACGCCCAAGATTGCCCCGAGATGGCCCAAGAGGCCTCCAAGACGCCACAAGAGGCCTCCAAGAGGCCTCCCAAGATGGCCTCAAGAGACCACAAGCATTGATTCCCCAGGTGTTTGGAGGATTTGGGCGTTCTCGCCTTTTCGGCTTCCCGACGCTCCAAGACTGCCCGGGAGGCCCCTACGATCGCCCCAAGACGGCCCCGGATGCCCCCAAGAATAGGCCCCAGCAGGGCGGGCCAGGCGTTTCGCTTGAAACTGCCTCACCATCTGTGAACCTTAAGCTGACAACTTGCAACAGCTTCACGGATGGAGGGCGGGTCGTTTCCACAATGTTGAAGGGGCCCAGGGACACACAAATAAATACACACAAATAAAATGATTCCGCATATTTTCTCATATTTTCTGGATTTTTGTCTTCCCCCCCACTTCCCATATTTTCCCATATTTTCCTGGGACTCGACGATTAATTGTGTCTGTGTGTTTCTTTTTCCTCCCGAAATGTGGCTTTCGCCTTGGCGCCGCGCGCAGCCGTCTTCAATAATAGGCTTTGCAAGAGCTTCACGGGTGGAGGGCGGGTCGTGTTCAGAGCGTCGCTCTCGCCTGCGCGCCGCACGCAGTCGTCTCTGAAGATGTGCAAGAGCTTCACGGATGGATGGCGAGCCCTTCTCAGAATCAAGCTCTCCCCAAAAGCGCCGCGCACATTCGCCCGAAGATTTTTCAGCAGTTCTGGGATTCTCACGGTTAACGTCACAGAAGTCGTGTTTGAGCACAGGGTGCAACAGTCACGTCGGTTCGCGGTGCTGAAGTCCCAAGAGCGATAGGTTGGCACGATTCAGGACCGTCAGGATTCACCAGTAACGTTGATGCACGGTTCAGGATCCCCAAACGGTTGCAAAATTTCTTGCAACATCGTTGGTGAGTTCAGGGATTACACGGGTCTTCGTCGTCATCCTCCACCTTCTCCCACTCCCCCGACTCCCCTCCCCACATCATCCGCATCTTCGTCTTTCCTGGCCCACGCATCTGCCATTTCTTCCTCGCCGCCAGGCCGCTGCCGGTAACCTCGGCGAGCATGGCCTTCGGATCGCCAGCTTTGCCATTGATGCTCACAATCCTGCTGGCGGGGAAGCTCCCAATGCGAACGCAGTCTCCCAGCAGGAGATGGATAGATGGTGGACAGGGGGGACCAGCTCGGGGGGGGCCGAGTCTGAATCAGCGATACGTCGCCGATAGATCGGCGATAGGCCCCCGATAGCGAATCCGCCAGGTCCTGGGCGGGTGGGGCCGTCGGGCCCGTACCGGCGATGACTGGGCGATTGGGGCTCGAGGCATCCCCCCCTCAGCCTTTCCCCCCGAACGTTGCACCCGATGGATGGGAGGGAGGAAACGAAGGATTGCAAAATCCTTCGTCGAAGGATTGCAAAATCCTTCGTCGGGTTGTTTTGCAATCCTTCGTTCAAGGTGAGGGAGAGCAGCCTCCCGCAGGGGCAAGAGGCAAGGGAAACGGGCGGGCGGGGCGGACGGGCGGACAGACGGGCAGTGCGGGAAAGCAGCGCACAGGAAGGGAACGCAGCAGGGGCAGCGGCGGGGAAAGGGGAGGGGAGTGAATGACTGAGCGAGTGAGCTCGTGGAGTCCTCTGAAATCCGGCCAGACAAGCAGCGCTGGTCTTGCGACTACGATTCGGACTCTGAAGAGGTTCCCTCCGAAACCCGCGGAAGTGAAAAAGTTATCCACCGCGCCATGCACGAGCGAGCCAGCGCCGATCCCAGCCACACGGCTGGTCGGGCCACACCCGCCGGGGGGCAGCAGCCAACGGAGGGGAAACAAAAACAGGAAAAGAAGAGGAGGAGACGGGGGTGCGGGTAAGCAGAGGAGGGGGGAACAGGAGGTGGACCGCGGGGATAGGAGGGGAGGGAGGCGAAGGGAAGGAGGCATGGAGGGCAGGGGGGGCAGGGCTGGAGGAAACGAAAACAAGGAAGGGCATCCGAGGCGACGCAAGCGCAGTCGCCAAAGCACGACCCGAGGTGAAGAAATAGTCCTGGGAAATAAATCAAAAACTTCGGGAAGGGGGGCAGGGGGAGCCCGATGGCAAGACCATGGTTTAGTTGCAGCACGGGGTACATACAATGCAATAGAAGATACGAGAAGGAAAATCAGAAAGAGAGAAGACAAGTAAAGAAAACAGAGGACGAGAGGTTGACAAAAAGGAAAGGCAAAAGGGCAAACGAAGCTGGGCAAGCGGAGGTACGAGAAACCGATATTGCGGCAAACGGTACGACGAGGAACGTGAGGTGGAAAAGCAACAGGAAAGGGATACACGCTGAAGATAAGATGGCATCCCACGATACGCGGAGATGGTCTATATGAGAAAGTCGGGCGTGGCTTAACGGGGGGGTCACACACGGGGGGGTCAGAAGAGGTCCCCTCTCGTGCCCCTCTTCGGGCCCCTCCAGAGCCCCGGGGGGCTCGCTGAGGTACCGTTTGGGTACCTCTTCGGACCACGCTCGCCGCCCCCCCATTTATGACCCCCCCATCACGCGGCGCCCAGGAAAGGCGAGGTCGGGCGCAGCCGGGAACGAGCCCGGACCCCGCGCGCGTCGGGGTCCTGTCGCCGGCCCGCACCGCTTCTCGCTCGCTGCTCCTCCCAACACGGGGGCAGGCAAGAGGGGGCGCAGGGTGGCGGAGGGAGGGAGGCGCACACGCGGGTCGGAACATGAGCACGGTGAGGGCATGTGATAAGAAACCGTTGGATGAAGAATCCTGTTCCTCCCAACCGGGGCAGGCAAGAGGGGGCGCAGGGTGGCAGAGGGAGGGAGGCGCACACCCGGGTCGGAACACGAGCACGGTGAGGGCGTTTGATAAGAAACCGCTGGATGAAGAATCCTGGGTCCGGAAGCCGGTGGAGCACCAACTAAAGCATGCCATGGATATCACCGCCACCCTCGTCTGATAAGGAATCATCCGGGGCCTGAAGCCTCCTTTCTTTTGCGAGCGCCCTAATCGCACGTAGGAGCAGCAAATAGGAAGGCGTTTGAAAGTAGATTGCGTTTCGAACCGCGACCCCCTCATGTCTTCGAGGTCGAGACTGGTCAGACACTGGCACAGGAAGGCACTCAGAATGGATTGCAAAAAGTAGGCATCCTGGCGAAGGGTCCGCCCATATGGCTATTCCCGAAACCCTGAATCCAAGATGTTGTCATCATTCGGGAGCAAGTTTTTAATTTATTCCGCTGGCTGCAACCAGCCTTCCCTGTTTTTTTTCGCTGGCGCTACTCCCCAATCGCTCTTTGGAGTTTCGCGGCAGGCTTCGGCCCCTACCCATACCGGGCGCAATCAAGAAACTACATCGGATGCCCCGCGGCGAGGGCGCGCGGAGAGGCAAGACCCAGGATTGCACCGCGGCCCCGCCCCGCGCGCACCCCAATTTCCGCGGGGGCAGCGCTGCGAGGGGCAGCGGCGGCCCCAACCTTTATCGGCCCCCCTGGGCCGCACCCAACGAACCGATAAAGGAATCAAACTTCAAGACTGGGCCCCGAAAGGCCCACGAGGGCAAGGGGGGGGGCCATGGGTACGCCAAGGGCAGGGAGCCTCAAGCCTGAAAGAGCCCTCCTGACGTCCTCTGCCTACCGACTGCTCTAGTCCTCACTTGCCCGACTTGTTCGCTCTCTCGCTTCCCCCGGGGCCGCTGGCACCCGGCCCCCGCCCGAGCGCCAGCTCCCCAACGAGCGTGGCCGGTCGGCTGCGGGGGGCTACTTCCTACATCAGGCTGACGCCACGCGCCGCCAGGCCCCCATTGCTCCTCAACTGGAGCAGCGCCTGCTCGAGGGTGGGGCGGCCGTTCGCCGCCATGATCCACCGCTGCCCTCTGCGCCTTCCGCTATCACCATGAAACGCCTCGTCATTTTGCACTTCGCGCCCGCCTGCTTCGCCATGGCCGCGCACTGCGCCCGGAGCTTGGCCGCTTCTACCGTTTCGTTGGTTGCTTGGCCCTGCTGGAATGGTTTTCACTACTGGCTCCTGGTTCGGCCCAATCGCTCCGCAGACCCTGGAACGGCCTCGGCGAGTCGTCGCGTTGGAGCACCAGCTTGGACAGCACCTGCCCCAGCAAGCTGCCCACCTCGCTCTCGTCACCCCCGCCGTTGGACCCTGCCCCCGCCACTGCCGCACCCCTCTCGGGCGCCTGCTTCACCTCGTTCAGCGGCGCTAACAGCGACATCGAGAGCAGCGCCGTGAGGCCGGGGCACGGGGGGGATCGGCTCCGAGACGCCAAGTAGCCCTGCTGGTTGCGGATCATGAGCCTGAGCAGCCGCGAGCTTGCGACGCCCCTGAACGCGTTCTAAGACGGCTATCTTTCACGGCGAACTGCGACTGGCCGAATGCGCGCGCGAGACTGGCGGCAGCTTCCAGCGATACCCCGGTCGAGTTCGGGATAGCAGTGCGGGCCGAGGGCCAGCGGTTGGCCGACACTTTTCCCCCGTGACATCGTTTCCCACACTCCGGGCACGACGCCCACTGGATCTCTGGTCGCTCAGCGAACGGCTCGAGGCGATCAGCCGCATGCTCGCGCGCGCGCGCCTGCATTCGCACTTCGTCGCGCGACTCAGCCAACGAAGCCGCGGTCGTACGAGCCGAGGATCTCCATGCAATACATGTTCGCGGCGAGCCGCCCGATCGCCCCCGGCTGGGGCGGCGCCCCAGGGCGCGAGCAGGTCGGTCTTCAGCATGTTCAGTCTCCAGTCTCCAGTCTCGAAAGATCGCAGAGCCCCCCGCCAGCTACCTTGGACGCCGGCCGAAGAACGCGGGCCCACCAACGAAGTCTGCGCGCAAAAATTGAGGTTCGGATCGTCGGCGCCCTCGCTTCCGCCCGCATCTGCTGGTCGAGAGTCTCAGTCGCATGCGCGAGCGAGCTGGCAAGAGCCTGTCGACGTCACGATGGGGGAGCATCTGCACCTCCATCCATGCAAGAGAGCAGCGATGATTTCAACATTTCCCACGTCTCGATTCGAAGCCTCACACTGAAGAAGGCTCCGAAGATCTCCTCGCGCAACCTGGCGCGCGCGGCATTGGCGCGCGGGGCCGGCGAGCCACCCCCTCGCCGCCGTCGCCGCCCGCTCTTAGCTCGTGCCCAAGTGCTTGGCAGACGGGGCCACGCACGCTGCCGATGCTTCATCGCCCGCCGAGGTTTTGACGCTCATGCTCTCGGCGCTGACGCGGCGCCTGCGAAGGCGAGCCCCCCTACCAGCTAAAATCAACTGCACCTCAGTCTCGCTGGCGTTGACCTTCATCTCGCCTGCCTCGATCTCGTGGATAATCAATTCAAGGAACCTGGCCGCCTGCTCGAAGTCCTCGACCACTCGGACCACGGGCAGGTCGTCAAGGACCTTCACCTGAGTCACGTCGACAGCCGCGTGGTTCTCGCCCTCGTTGCAGCGCAGCGCCGCCAGCTTCGGGTCGAACCTGACGCGAGGCATCTCGGAACTCCCACACTGCTTGGAATCGACCTCGACGGGGATGGCGTCGAAGACCATGATGAAAAGCATCGCGCTTTCAACCGCTCCTACGCGCGCCCCCTTCTTCGCCTGGATCTTGTAGACTGGGCCACGCGCGCGAACATCGCGCAGGACGCAGCATGTTCCGCCGGGCAACTCTCCCATAGTCAGCTGCGTGTCACGGCGCGCCCCGATGCTCGCGGGGCGCCCCGAAATGCGCCGGCGCCCCGCGAGGCCGAAGGCCTTCTCTAAGTCGAGCAGGGCCGTCATCGGCATCGGTTTCGAAGCGGACTTCCCCGCGCGGGAAGTCGAACAAGCGTGGCGACATCTTCGGGCGATGCCATTAGCGATCGCCACTGCGTCGCGCGCGCTTCTGCCCTGCATGCAACCTACATGCGCGCGCGATATCTCGCGGAAGAGGCTGCGCTGCGCGCCGAGGGAAGTGACTTCGGCGCAAGCCCCCCCTCTGTTTCGGATCAAGCTCAACGTCCTGCAATGAGAAGCGGCGCAGCTCCTGCCCCCCGTCGGCCCCCTCACAAAGAAGACTCCGGCGCCCTGGAAACGCCGGGCCGCCCGCCCATGTC